AGGATCATGATCTGTCCTCGTTAGATTTGTGGACGAGGATGCTATGCACTGCCGATGTGTCCGCCGCCACCACAGCAAAGCCATTGCCGACCAGACCAAAGACGCACTCCATTCTTGTATTCTCTTTCTTCTTTACTCTATTACGTTTTCGGATTTGGATTTATCCGTTCGATTTCTTCGTCTGTGATCTTCGTCTACCTTTAATTTTTTTTTTTCTTTTCAAATTTCAATTATAATGTTGAGAGAACAATTTTTTTCCGCTTCCTTTCCAGCGACTTGGCCAACAAGTTTTTCACCAAGAAGGAAAAGGAGAAATAGGATGTACAAATTGGGTAGAAATAAAAGGGTATTATAGTCTTTGCAAAAGGGAAACCCTGACCTGGGCCTAAGCCTGAGCCTGAGCTGCTGTAAACTGGGCCTGGGCTGAACTGGTTCGGCTCGATGTAGATGGGTTCGGCCTACATTGGATTGGACTGATATTTCAAGGTTTAAATATATAATCCCTTCATGTACTTTTTTTTTATTTTTTTATTTAAATTTAAATTATTATTATTATTATTTTACTAAATTAGTTCTTATACGTTCAATATTTTTCTAAAAAAATAAGTAAAAAATTTAAAATAATTTTGTTTACTAAATTTATAATTAATTAAATTAATTAATTAGACAATAATCTATAAATCGAAATCGTTGTTTCAATTATAATACATGATACTAGTAAATAATTAATTATTTTGAATTATTCATTTAATTTCAAATCATCCCTAGGGAACTCTAATATTTTTTTCCTTCTTTGTGTACTTATTTATTTATTTATTGTGGATGATGGATCAATTCTCCTTTCATGTATTTCTCTATATTGATCTCAATAAATTTTTTAAAAAATAAAAAAGTATTATATTATTTGAATTAAATATTTTAACACATACATAAATTTAATATATATTATATAATATTTTCACGTAAATAAAAATATTACTAACAATAATAATTCGCTGATCTCATGTATTTTCATTTAGCTGTTGACGTGGCAAAACAAAATAACATCTGCTAAATCAGAATATAATATGCTTTTAGAAAAATTTAAAAATTGCAAGAACTAGTTGAAAACTCAAAAAAGAATAAATATATATATATATATGTGTGTGTGTGGAAAAATGGAAATAGTACATGAGTGCATACTGTTATAGTGTGGAGGTATAATAACCCACCTCAGGTTTTGCATTAATATACCTGCACACTTTTTATACGAAAGACTTGAAATCTGATTCCATTATAAACTAGTTTAGCCTTTGGGGTTTTTGGATTGATAGAGATGGCTGAAGCATTAGCCCTTATTTTTAGATTGGAGATTGTCTAATTACAAACAGGCATTCAACAGTAAATTATGAAGTTGGATGGACTCATTTAAAATTTTGTAGATGAATAATAATTTTTTTAAAAAAAGATTAAAAATCAAAGCGAGAGAAAAACCATGCACTGGATTTATTGACTTAACAAGATTATTAGGAGCAAGGCCTTATTCATACAGCTTTCTTTAGCTTACTATTAACACAAACTCTCTCAGCCTGCTAACCCCTCCAACTCCAAAATCCAGGAAACTCCATGGTGCCCTCCTTCCCTTCGTTTACTCCCCACAAAGTAAGATTCATTAGGGTTGCTTCTGAATACCCTCTTCACTTGTTCTATCTGCTGTGGCCCAAAGGTAAGAGCTTTTGCTGCATCCTCCATGTTGTTGATTATATTGTTTTGTCCTTCAATCAAACATTCACTTAAATTTAGATATTCATTTAAATTATATATATATATATTATATAGAACTAATTAATGCGTGTTACCTGCAAGGAAATTCCTCTCGTTGTTATGCGTTCTGATTCCAAACCCGACTGTTTCGGCATCTTCTACGGCAGTGGATGCTACCGGGTGATTTGCAGGGATGAGGAAGGCCTCACCGGCAGAAGCCTGCGCCACGATTCTCTGCATCTGCCCCTGTTCAGCTCCACCTTGCCTCTGCATTGACGACACATGGGGGCAACCCATTTCAAAGCGTACGCGTCCCTTTGTCACTAGTACAACCGTTGTTGCCTTCGAATTGTAGTGGGGCACAAATATTGATCCCTGCAGAATTATTTTTTTAACCGATAATTAATTAAATTAATTAGCATTTAATTTGAGTTATAATAAAAAATGGGTAAGTTGATATTTACTTGTTTCATCTGAGCGATGTTAACAGAGACGTCGAGGTCCTCTAGCAGCCTGTGTTGGCGGGGATGAGCCTCAAAGAACTGGCCCCAGTTGTTAGAGTAAGCGGGTTTCTGCCGGAGAAGATTGAATGGTCTGAGAATTTCCTTTATCTGTCTTGGCGAAGAAGTTGCTTGTTGACTCAGCTTTCTCAGAAGCTCCGGTGAGGCTTTCTCGATTGCCGGACGCCTCTGACTCTGCAGGACCCTTTCAATCTCTTGTCTTGGTGTCTACTTGGAACAAAACAAAATTAACACCATATATATAAATATATATATATATATATACATATTATAGTAAATCATTCAAGAGGGTCTAACTATAACATGATTTTAAGTTGAATTCATTTGAGTTAAAGAAGGAAGATTTGTATATGAGTGCATACATTGAGAGAACTCTCAAGAACCTCCTGGCTGAACTGACTCAATACTGACCCTCCTTTATTTCCAATTTCAGTAATGAAGTATTCCTGCAAGAAAAAACCACGGTAATTATGCAGTTGAATAGAGGGGAGGAAGTTCACTTGCAAATACAATTAATTAAATAAGTTGATTAATAATGATTACCTTGAATAAACCAGGAATTAAAACGGGTTCGATAAGCCTGGCAATTTGGAGGACCTGGTTATTATCTGGGTTACTTAAGTAGACGAGAACACCTGCAGGTACTCTAATGACATGACCACGCTCTACCTGGAGTGATTCCCTTCCCTCCTGGCACACCAGAGAAACTGTCCCTCTCCCTGAAACAGTTTTTAATTCTTCTCTCTCATCAGATTATTATTATTATTATTATATATTATATGTGTGTATATATTTATATGAAGATAGATTAGAAACAGAGTAAGTAGTTGACCTTGGACCACAACAAGAATAGACACAGCATCGACATAATGTGGCTGGATAAAAGTGTTAGGATTTGCCACTAAAAACGCAAATCGATAGTTTCGAAAGCCTTCAAAAAGTTGAGGATTTTTGTCAGTAAGCATGTGTAGAACCTTGAAGTGTCCCGACGGAGACTGGTATTTATTGCGGAAGCTCTGGTAATCAAAGTAGTAAGGATTGCTCCGATCTTGATTAACCTCTGTTCCCTGTCTTGACTGTTGCTGGCACATTCTCTGACACTCTTGCCTCTCCTGCGGAAGTCTCCTCTGACATTGCTGCTGGCACTGCCTGAATCGTTGTCGGCGGCGTTGTAATTGCTGGTCGCATGATCTCCGACATTGCTGCTGGCTCTGACCTTGTTGTCTCTGGCAACGTTGTTGGCACTGCTGGTACTCACGTCGAGCAGGGTCCTGCTGGTTCCATAAGTACTCTTCCTCGCTCTCATCTAGTTCTCCATTCAGCTCCAGCTCGTCTAGGTCTTCCGATTGATCCGATGCGGAAGAGTGGAGGAAGACGGCGGAGAGGAGGAAGAAGAGAAGGAAGAAGAGTAGTAGCAGAGGGGACCTAGTCTTGATTGCCATTGTTTTTTGTTGTTTAAGATTAAGATTAAATGATTGTGTATATATATACAAAGTGACGGAGGGGAGAAGCTTGTGGTTTTGCTACGCATAAGATGAAACATAACATGCATGGCGACGGGTGTACGGTGAAGTTTACGGTTCCCGTGGGGGATGCATGTGAATGACAGTCCAAATATGTTTTTGTCTTTACGTGTTAATTACACACAAATACGAATCAACTAGTTTCCAGTCTCACAGTCGTCCTCGTGAAAGATAAAACTCTTATTTTTTTTTAACATGAAAATATATATATGTGTGTGTGTGTGTGTATATACGTTCACACTTCTGTTTGATAATAAAAACTTGAATAAATTCTATTTACATGGTTTTAGAAATTAGTGAGTGATCAATCAATTACTATAGTTTTACAGATAATGAAGAAACCAAATATTGTATATATATATATATATATATATATATTTTTTCATTTTTATCTAGTTTCTTTATGTATTAAATAGTAAATTCCATTCACATATTATGGCTTATAATTGAAAATAATAAAAACAGGAACCTGCTAGATTATTGCAATTTCCTTGTTTTCTTTTTGCAATTTTATCTACCTGAAATCAACATCAAGAATTGCAGTCAAATGATCAGAGCTTCTCAAATTGTCAAGTGAGCCATGAGAGGCAATAAACAAAGTATGCTAACTACAAAATAGCTAATTGAATAAGTTTCTTATATGCCAAACCCTGTTTGTAAATCATTGGCAAAAATAATTTATCAATAAAGAAGAAAAAGAATTTGATAGCAAAAAGATTTTGTGTTATATCAATACTTATTATTTCAAGTAATTTACTCATTATTTATATAAATTTGGTTCATACCTCATCTCAGGACTGTAGGTTTTTTCTGCTTACAATAGAAATCAGATAACAAATTATACATTATCAAGAGCTTTAGGTCCACATTGATTCGTCAATAATATCAAATTCAGTAGGTCATTGTAGAATCAATGAAGTTTGAATCATGTTTCCCACAAAAAAAGTTAATTGATTTAAATTTCCTAATACAATTTCCATGTAGCAAAAAGTTTCAATTCAATCCAGAAAAAAATAGATAAGATGTATTTGAGATCATTAACTAATAATATAAATATAATGTTTATCAATTGAATAGAGATAACAGATAAATGTAAGTACATCAAAAAATAGGTCAAAGAAAAAACATCAATCCAAAAAGAAAGTACCGACATCATTATTACCCGTGTATATAAAGAGGTGGATACTCGTGCACCAGAATAAGTTTGATACTTTTGCCAATATATATATATATATATATATATATATATATATATATGCAGACATGTTTCTCGCCGTGTATGATAACTCGTGGGTTCATGCTCTCTCTGCATTTTCTTTGAAATGGGTGACAACCATCAAAGCTGATTGCAATATATGAAATTAAAAATCCAAAAGAAGCTCACTTTAACGAGCCAAAATACCCTACACTGTTTGCTGTTTGGCCTTAGTCTTAGGGTTCATGCTCTCTCTGCATTTTCTTTGAAATGGGTGACAACCATCAAAGCTGATTGCAATATATGAAATTAAAAATCCAAAAGAAGCTCACTTTAACGAGCCAAAATACCCTACACTGTTTGCTGTTTGGCCTTAGTCTTAGGGTTCATGCGTTATCATACGTGTGTGTGTGTATATATATATATATATATGGATCCAAACTCACCAGTGGAAGCAACAGAGTATTATCAATCATCTGGAAAACCCAGAAATTTGTTAATAAGGCTGACAACTGGCCTGGCGTTTCCTGGAGTGTAAGGAAGGAGAGAGTCGAAGTCCATATGAGCTATAGTGTGATGAAGTGTGTGGGGGCGAGCACAGTATAAATGCTTCCTCTCTGCTAGTTCTTCTGCTAGTTCACTTTGATGATTGTCCATCAACTCTTCATTCACCACCACAATTAACGGTTTACCAAGCCTTAAGCTCTCAAATATGCTCCCAGACCCTGCATAACAGCCACAATTATATATCTTCATTCGTTTCTACTCCCTTCAATGATGCTTCTGCCTTTCTTCAACTTTTGCCACTATTATTATTGAAAAATAATAGTAAAACTATAGAGAGCATGAGTTTGACTTGAATCAAGAGTTGTTTTCAAGCTCATGCTATATTTTCATTATCATGTTTCGAATCTTGATTTCATTTTCAGCAGCTATACATACTTAAATTTATAAAAATATTGAACTACAGAGAAAAACCAACAATTTCTATAATTGAAACAGGCCTTAACTTCTTAGCTCTGTTTAATAACTTGCAGAGATTTCCCCTTTCCAGTCAAAATATGGGTAACCCATGACAGGAAAGAACAAATAAACTCTATCCAACCTAGTCTCAAGCAAACAGGCTACTCTATCACAGTAAAATAACCAACTCCAGGAGGCTTCAAGTGCTTAATGGTGCATTGGTGTCCCTGGTTTCTTAATCTGGCGTCTTGGTTTCTTATGGTAACACATGGAGAACAAAAAAAAGGGTCCAATTTTATGATATTCAGGTTAGAATATATAATAAAACTTATAACTAATCTCAAGAACTATGTGAATATGAGTGACTCAGACTCTTAAATAGGAACTGAAAGGAAAATCATAACAGAGAACGTACAACAATATGGCTACTAAGAAAATATGTGCATTATATGTCTGGATGCAAGCAGAAAATTTAAAAGAAAATAAGATAGGATCATAAGAATGCTAGCAGCCAATGCTAAAGGGAAAAAAGTTAAACGAAAGGAAAGAAAATTAGTTCATTGTTCAGCAATTTACCAGCATGACTAATCACAAGAGAAGTTGATTGCAAATAATCTGCTATACTTGATGAAAAAGTGAAGTAGTCCACAACTAAGGAACCATCTTCTCCATTAGACTGAATTCATAAGAAAGTCATGAGAAACTCACAAAAGAATAATCTTGGGAAGACGAGAAAGGAAATAAATATTCTGAACATAAGAGGAAATCCTCATTTAATTATAATTGCTGCTGAACTGAAAAGGTTGACTTTTTAAACATAACGATAAAGATTCAACAAGAGAATCCATAGATATTTTAGACAAAATTTAGACAGTGAAAATGACAATCATGAAATCTTAACAGTATGTTTGTGATAAAATATCATCTGTTAATTTTTTTAATTTGATCATTTCAGTAGATTGAAAATCTGTTGAATTGGTTACAATATCAGTTTTATTAATTTTTAAATCGAAGTCCATTGCAGTTCTTGTCCTCAAGCATTTCTAGTATAAAGTCAATCTTGACCGAATCCAAATATAATTCAAGAAATGCTTTTAAAAGAACCAACTGATGGTAATAATTCTAAAAGAGAACTAACATACTGTCCAAATACACCAAAAGCAACATTCATCTTTTCTTGACATCTCTCTCTAGCAATTACATTCATATGATTTTCCTTAACCAAGTAACCAAAAGATAATTTATCAGATCAACCAATTTGTAAAGGTTTCCCAAGATTATTCCTAGTTTAATACGTTATTAAGCTGCCTGATGAAAGACTGTTCAAACAATCCACATAGCTTCAGTAACACATATATCAACAGAGCCGAGCAGCAGTTCTGCATATAAATAAACACCCAACAGAAAAACTTAGAGAATTCCTAAGCTTTTGGTTTTTTCCTTTTACTTTGACAAGAGGCCAAAATCCCAACAAGGTATTATTTTAATCAATACAGCAAGCATCCTACAATAACTTCCCAGCAACTCATTAGCAAAACTGTTGTACCTGCTTTGCATTTTATTTAAAAGAACAAATAAAAAGAAATTAAGAAGCTACTCAATTAGAATCTGGAGATACCTTTCTTGGGATATAGGATCCTCGACCCATTTGAATAACAAGGTCTGTAAACCCTCTCCTTAACAACTCATCTTGAACTTCTTGATTATCCACAGCTTTAACAAGAGAATCAAAGCATGTTGTTCCCACAGTTACAAAAACTGTCCTTCTGGGCTTTATACTATCCTCTCTATCTCCCATTTAAATCTATATGTTCTCCACAATATGTTATTTCAAAAAGAAAATGTTCTCCACAATATGTCAACAACCTGAAATAGCACCAAATCACAATCAACAAATTCCTTTTGAGACAACATGGAATATGTTAGTATAAAGGCACTGTGGGGGTGCCACCATGTACATCATAAGAGAACAAAAATCATACAAGGGAATCAGTCAAAAAATCGATGGTACCCTTGAGATATTCTCCTCTAAGAAGTGGTGACATCGTACATCAAAGTAGACAACACAAAGAAAAGAAAAATTATAAATGAGTAATTTGATTCAAAATGAACTTTATAAATCATAAGAACCAAAAAACATCACAAAAAGATGTCTCATAATTGATTCAAATGAATATAAAACAAAACAATACCGGACACTAATTCTCTTTTGTTCTTCTGATAAAAATATTAGGAAAATATATGATTTAAGTGCACGTGATTTTGGCCCACCTCAGCAACCTGCAGGGATGACTCATCAACCCCCACCACCAATTTTCACAACCCTCTTCAACAGGAAAGGCTGCATGAAGAGGCACTTCATCTCCTGCCTCCATTCCTTACCCATGATCAGAAACAGACCTGGTTTCAAGGAACGATCTGAATTCATGGCTTCTCACAACCTGTCACAGAAGAACAGGATCGACTTGGCTTCCCCTCACTTTGACAGAAGCTGTAGAGACCAGATAAAGACAAAGAGGAAGAAAGAGATGATCTTCCATTATCCCTTTCTTTAAAGTTTGTACCTCCTAAGGCTTGGTCTTAGAGAAAAAAGCCAAGGGAGACTAGTAGATGGGACTTAGAGTTAACAGCTTTTGTTAAGCCAGCTATGCAATTGCCTTCTTCAAAGGATGAAGCTTTGAACCTAGGCTTACGAGATTGGGCTTAGCAGAGTAGACTTCAGCCAATTAACTACAAGTTTGTGGTTTTCCTTCTTCTTAGCTTGAAATGCAAACATATCAAACCCCACCCCTATCCTACAAGATTTGGATGAGATACCATAGAGGGAAAAAAATGAACACACCTGCTTTCTCCCCCACACCAAGAGACTGACCACCAACCAGCGATTGCAAGAAGTACAAGACACAACACTCTACATCCCCCTCCAAGCCATCCAAGGAGCAAAAAAGTCGAGTCAATAGAGCATCTTGGCTCCCTAGCTCAACAACTGCTACTTCAACCCTCTCCTTTTTAGCATCTGCTTCTTCATTCGACCAACAAGAGTCTACCAACACTTATGTTGTACTATTTGCTAGGTTTAGCTCATAGACTAGAGCATCTTATGCCACTTGCTTTTTCCAATTATTAGTTGCATCATTTCATGGGCTATGAGGAGTCTCAACAACCAGAACAAGAGAGTTGTGATTAAAGGGTGATTGAAAAGGTGGGTTGGTCTGCCTTCAAGAGATGAAGATGGCCAGAATGAGTACTCAGGTGATTAGAAATTTGTGGAGTGTTATTAGGAAAACAAAAAAAAGAAGTTGTTTTGTGGAATAGTAGGAAAGCGAGATAATAATATCTCCCTTCTGTGGGTGCTATAAATTAGTCTTGTATTGATGGAGGGCCAAATACTTTTGTGGAGTACCACCAAAATCTTGATACTGCTCTTATTGCTAATGAGGTGGTGGTTTCCATTATTAGATCCGAGGAAAGAGGTCTTCCTGTACGCTACATATTGAGAAAGCTTATGATGATGTCTCCTGTGTTTTGTGTTACACTTGTTGAGGAGGACAGCTTTTGATCCTAGATGGTGCAAGTGGGCTGATATACATATTTTCACTCCTTCCTTTGTTGTTCTTGTTAATGGCAACCTTCTAACTTCTACTGCTTCTCTTAGAATCCTCGAGCAAGAGGATCCTCTTTCCCCTTTTCTCTTCATCTTGGTCATGGAGGCTTTTCACTAGATGCTTCCTCAAGCCAAGGCTTATAACCTCATTGAACGATTAGGAATTGAGGGGGAGACTCAAAATGGAGGTCATTCACTTCTTGTTGCTGACAATTGCAGGCATAAAATGGATTTTTTGGATGAATATTAGATGAGTCCTCTTTTGATTCAAAGTCGTAACAAGCCTCCATATAAATCTGGATATATCAGTATTGGTCTATTTTTGGCGTTGGTGTTTGGGTGGATGAGTTCACTAGAACTTAGAACGTCAGCTTGCTTCATTTTCTCTCAAATATTTTGGCTTCCCTTAGACACCAAGTTCAAGTATCCAGGCATTTGCGATCCTACGGTCAGCAAGATAAAAAAGAGATTATCACCGTGGAAGAAGATTTATATCTCTGACACCAGAAGGCTCTCACTCGTGTCAAAAGTACTCCCTCCAACTTGGGAACCTATTACCTCTCTTTATTTTCCATTCTTG